TCATAAAATAGTTGTTCTACCCAAAATGCAACTTACTGCATTCAGTCAGACTTACTGAACAACAAAGAAGGCAGCCCGGTGCACTAAGCTCCTGCAAGAGGTTGTTTCCACAGCTTAAACCCATAACCTCCTAATCACATGGCAACAACAAAGACTAGAGCTGACCATGAAATAGATACAAGTGTCCAAGGAAGAAAAACATAAAAGACCTTTTTCTAAAATGATAGTGGTGCCCGGACCAACTTGTTAATTATTTCACCTTATACCTGCTATGTCCCACCATCATAGGTATCGGGTAACTCTGCACACCAAAGCTTAAGGAGATAGGAAGAAATCATCTATTGTTCAAATTTTATCCGATTAAAAAACGCAATTAACTTTGTGATATGTAGTAATAGCCTTCAAGGTTCAATATTCTCACAAACAGAAGGGAAAAAAACACAACAAAACAAAGGTAACTACAAAATCAGAATCGTCTTTAATATGAACAATGTTAGATATCCAACATGAAAACTTTAAATATGTAAATTACAGTGATCTTTGCAGCAGATGGGGAATCGAATTCCGTTTGTGGGACAAGTGAATATGTCCTTCCTTTGGTATCGGTAACTTCGACGGCGACCGCATTGTCTTTGCCGGCGGTGGTGGTAGAGGTTTCCGACTTCGAGCGGATTGGTTTGGGACGAAACCTCGTACCGGTTTTGGAAACCTTAAAGGAAATCCCCATTGCCGGGAATTCTACAACGGCGTTAATCGGATATTGGAGAATCTATATTCTATATTAACACTATATTAATCACAAAAAAGCAAGTGCCATTGTTAAAGACAAAATAAACTACTTTTTAACTAATTTTTTTTTTTTAAATTTTGAATTAATTGATTATACTATTTGAATGAGTAAATATAAATATCTTATAATTATCAATAAAAAACGAAAATACAAAAAAATATTCTACTCATTCAAATTGGAGTTTTAAATTATTTTACAATAAAAAAATAAAAAAAAACAAAAACTCAAAAGCTACCAATTCAAATTGGAGAGTAATTCTTCCAAAAATAGTAGTAATAGTAGTAGTGTGTTATATAGGAGTAGTTATTATACTAAATTGATAATTTATTAATAATTCATATATCAATTTAACAATATTAAGTAATGAATAATACAATTAGATTAACCAAGATTATATATATTAAGTAATGAATAATACAATACGATATCATTTAATATATATATATATATATATATATATATATATATATATATATATATATATATATATATATTATGAGAAAAGTCATACATATACACATAACTAAAATCATAATAAATAAATATTCATAAATGAAGTACTAAAAAAAAATTAAATGATATCGTAAAAATACATATACTAATTAAATTTATCATGTAGAAAAATTTAGTTAATAAATAGGACTCATAATTTCATAATGAAAAGTACAAAAATATAAAGAAACTATTAAGATATTATACATACGATAATATATTATATACAAAACATATTTTATTAATTATTAAAAATATTAGTACATTTTTTGTCAAAAAAATAAAAGGCTTAATCTTTATACTTTTGATGAATTCAAAATTATAATTTAGTTAAAAAATAATATTATCAAAATTTACAGTAAATATAAAATGAGAAAACTAATCAAATATTATAGTAGAAATCAATGTACGAAAAGAGATGGATAAAGATATTTTATAATATTTATATTTTGAATCAACTAATAAACAAAAAATAAATAAATAAAACTCAAGAAAATTATTGATAAATTTAGACAATTGAAGAATTTTAAACAGTATAACATAGGTATAAAATATATATTTCTAGATTAAGAAAATATATATGTATGTTCTACTACAAGAGAAGTAGTATCAAAATATTAAGACAATTTGACGCGTTAATAAAAAATCACATTAGTAAATGTATAGTACTGAGTACTTGCTAATTTAATAAAGAATAAATAAGGAATAAATAATTTATTTGATTACTATAATACTTTGTATCATTTGATTTTGTATAGAATTTATTATATTTATGTACACTACATTATAATAAAATAGTAACTAATATTTATTAAAATAACATGATATATTAGTTCATAATTTTGTAACATTAATATTCCGTCAAATTGTAACCAAAAAAAAAACAAATTATCCGCGCATCGCGCGGGTTCTAATACTAGTTTAATAAGAAACATTAAAGCAATGAGAGACACAAGAATGGATGTTACAGACTTACAGTTGCAGTTGCAGTTGCATGTTGCAGTTCTCATAGCAATGCAAATACCTTTGAGCTCATAGTTTAGCTTATTAGTTGCTCTTTTTTTCTTTTTTTTTTTGAAGTTACACATTTGACCTCTTAATCAAAAAACCTCTTCGCCGATATTCATATATTGTACACTAATTATGTATATAAGTCATAACATATATATATGTACGACTAATTTTTTTGGACGGACGAATATTAAAGTTAATCTCTTTTTTCCCCCCTTAGAGCTTATGAGTTGCTTTGATGACCTTACTATTGTATTGTACATATATATTAGGATACTAGTCTTAGGGTACGCGCTTTGCGCGTGTACCTATTGTAAGCATTTAAATTTTATTGGATTTAAATCCATAAAGTTATTTGAACTATATTTTAAATTCAAGATATATTAGTTCAAATAAATATTATGGGCTAATATAATTGAATGAATTATATAAGTCCAATATATATGGGTTAAATAAATAAGTTTTAATCCATTGGGCTAGCCCATTTAAACTGGGGTAAAGTGATGAGCCCACTTCATTAAGCCCAAGATGACATCTTCCTAGAGGCCCAGTTTGGTGCCACGTGTTAAATGACGTGGCGCGCCAAGTCAAACGGAAGAGCCAATAGGATCATGCCACATGTCAAAATGACAAGGCATGCCCAGTCACATTAAATGGCCAATGAAACCGCGCCATGTGTGCAAGTGACATGTTCTGGCCAATCAAATGCGGCCATGTCACACTTCAATTTGATTGGTCGGAAAGAGTTTGTTCTTATCATAACTCTTCCCTTCCAGAACTATAAATAGGGGTCTTCATAACTCAGAAAAGACACCAGAAGTTATAACAAGAAGCAAGAGAGAGCTCGTGGATCAAACACCGCAAATTCCTCCACAAGTTTCAAGCTTCAAGCAATCAAGTTCAAGTTCAAGTTCAACAAATCAAGTTCAAGCTCAAGAACGAAGAACAAATCAAGTTCAAGCTCAAGAACGAAGAACAAATTAAGGTTCAAGGAGTGCCAGATCAAATCAAAGTTCGTGCTAGTTGAATTCAAGATCATCGTTCGTGAAAACAAATATAGATTCAAGATCAAGCTCAAAGGCCCTTGAATTTATTTACAATTGGAAAGAAGAATCAGAGGATCCATAGAGATTGTAACACTCAAATATTTGAAATAAAATACTACGATTGTTGCGATATTTTCGGTCTTAATTTTATTTTCTCGACGAAAATTTATTGTCTACACCTATATCAATGAGTACGCAATTTTTTAAAAATCACGTAAATATTATTAGACAATGGTTGTGTTCTATAAAAATAAAAATTAAAGAAAACTTCCTGAAAATGATAAAAGTTGCTCCCATTTAGCATGCTCAATAAATTAAGATATCTTGTTCTACATAAGTTTTCAAATGCCTTATATAAAAATATCTTATAAAAATTATTTCTCTAACCTTATAGTGAAAATAAAACACGAAAATTCTTTTATTACGATTCTGTAAAGATTTGTCAAATAACACAAATTAAAATTGATCATTTGGTCTTTAAAAGATTTGAATATGAATATGTTGATCATCTGCTCCCTAAAGATTTGACATTGAGAATAAAAAGTCTAAAAAAATTAATGTTGAACTAATATTTTATAATCGGTCGTCTATTGGTTCATCTTATGAATGATTAAGTTGGAAAAGTATTGAATTAGATTCTTTTCTTATTAGTTAATTCAAAGAATTAATTAGTTAATTTCAAAATTAAAGGAAATAATTTACTAATTTAAAATATCTAATAGTATATTATCTCAAGTTTTAAATATTTAACTGTAATTATTATTTTATCCAATAAAAATTATATTTCAAATAGTAAGAAAGTTATATGTTTGGATCTTTTTATTTGTAAACATTGGTGTTTTTGACTTTTCCCAATAGAAAATATTTAATAAATTAAATTTTAGTAAATCCTAATATTAGGAAAACAACATGGAAGGTATTATGACCTAAATATCGATCGAATTTTTCGCTTTTCTGTTGGACTCGTGGATTATATGGCATCTGGGCCCAAAAGGAAAGACTTATAGTGTAGCCTTTATTTATTTTACTTGTGTTTTTGTAATTGGGCTCCTTGTAATTACCGAACTAGCCCATTTTATATTACTTGTATTTGACTTGTATTTGGGCCGTATATAAGCGGAAGGGTGCACCCGAATCAGCCCATCGAGATTATTTTCTCAAAATCAGATCTAGAAAGTTCCATCTTTTCTCTCTTCTCTCTCATGAACCCTAACACTAATTTCTCTATTCTAGATCGATTTTCTCATGTTCTCATGGTATCAGAGCTAGATTCCGGTCGATCTCATCTTTCTCTATCTTCTGATGTTCCCTCATCGAGTTTCGTTGAGGATTTCAATCTCATGGGGGTATTGATTTTGTCTTCGACATACTGGTTTTGACTGATTTCTGGTCGATTTTAACTTCTCTCGGCCTTTTTTGAGTTGTATTTGCTGCTTGAGTGACTGTGGAAGATTATCTACAAGTTTCCGTAGTTGTCATTAATCTCAAGAATTCTATGGTTTAGCGACTTCATCTTATTTCATCATTGTTGCTGCGTTGCTGAGAAGTGTTGTTTTGAAGGCCGTACTTCCAGTCGCGAAGAAATCGGTAACTCTGTATATCTGTTTCATTCTGCATAATATTCATCGGATAATTGTTCATTGCTGAATGCTATAGTAACAATGGGATCTACTAATGTTAATGTGTCTGGCACACGTGAGTTTAATCCCAAGCCCTCCAGTCCTCTATTTGTTCAGTCATTAGATGTTCCTGGTGTTTCTCTTGTACCAGTTCCCTTTTCTGGGACAAACTTTGGGGGTTGGAAAAGAATCATTATTGTTTCCTTAACTGCTAGGAACAAAATTGCGTTTGTCGATGGTAGTTTACCTAAACCTCCAGATAATTCAATAGAGTCTAATCAATGGGATAGGTGTAATAACATGGTAATTTCATGGCTAACAAGTTCTCTATCCCCTGACATTGCGGATAATGTCCAGTATTCTGAAATAGCTGAAGAAATATGGAGACAGTTAAATAAAAAATATGGAACAGTAGGTGAAACTAAAGCCTTTAAAATTAATAAAGAACTTGCCTCTACCTGTCAAGGCTCCATAGATATTGCATCATATTTTAACAAGTTAAAGAAATTGTGGGATGAATTGAGAGTTGTTCGTAAAAACCATGGAAATCACTGCACTTATAGTGCAAAAGAAGGTATTCTCAAAGAGGAGGAAGAGGATAGACTTCATCAGTTTCTCATGGGACTAAATGAAGTCTATGTTGGTGTCAGGAGCAACTTGCTCATGATGCAACCACCTCCAACACTAGACAGTGCATATAACATTCTTCTTCAAGATGAAAGGCAATAGATCAACTCCAATTCTCAGTTTGGTCCTGATTCAACTACCTTCACTGCCAAAATCAACCTCAATCATCATTCTAGTCCCAACACAAATTATAAGTCTCCAGGTTCCAACACTCAGAGACAATATGTTCAAAGAGAGAATTTTGATCAAGCCAAGGGGAACCTATTATGCAATTATTGTAAGAAGAGTGGACACTTAATTCATAAGTGCTTCAAGCTTCATGGTTTCCCTCCTGATTTCAAATTCACCAAAGGAAAGAAAATTACTGTCATGACCCAAACCCCGGTCGTGATGGCGCCCAACACATTGCTAGGCAAGCCCGACCATTTACACAACCTTAGCCAAATAACCTATGTAAATAATTAAATGCTCGCTACCATAATACCAATTTAGTATGGAAATTTTGATAAGATCTCTAACATTCGAAAATCTCAAAGTAAAATACTAAATAGCCCACCGGATCTGGTGTGACGAACATGAGCCTCTAAAACAGATTATCCACCTATTACAAATCCGACTAGGAAAATTACGAATAAAATAATAAAGATAGATGGGAGAGATCAGAGCTGCGAACGCCATGCAGCTATGTTGATACTCCCGGATAATGCTGCTCAGCTAACACGAGTCCTCACTCACCCTGTGGTGTACCTGAATCTGCACACAAGGTGCAGGGAGTACGGTGAGTACTTCCAACTCAGAAAGTAATAAATATAAATAAAGTCTGAGGATCAGAAATCCTAAATAAACACAAAGTAAAGCTATAAATACAACAACGTGGACCAATAGCATAATACGGTAAACATCAAAATAGTTATAATAAAGTCACACCAGAAGGAGAGTAAATAACAAGTAAATATGCAATGCAACACATAAACCGGTACCTCCAGTACCCCGCTGCGGCCGTGCAGCTCGCTCCATTTATTTAACGTCGACGGCGCTCACTGGGGGTGTGCAGACTCCGGGAGGGCCCCCTTACGGCCCAAGCGCGATAATAAGCCATCTCGTGGCATCAAACAGGCCCTTGGCCTCATATCAATATCATTATAATACTGCTGCGGCGTGCAACCCGATCCCATACTCAGTCCAAAAATCACGCAATAGTATAAAAATATTCAGCCCAAACTTCATTTAAAAATATTAACTTAATTTCTAATTTAAGAAAATGGCTGAGATTTCAAACACAGTATTAAATACCAGGACAGAGTTTAATATTTATAAATATGATAGGAAACCATTAAAATAATCCCTGAAGGATTCAAGTAGTTGGCACGAAGCCCAATTATGACAATTAATCCATTTTTATAAGGATATTACAAATCTACAATCAAATAGGTACCAATTTTATTAAGCGGGACGGACCAAGTCACAGTCCCTGGCGGTGCTCTACCCCACGCCCGTTATCCGGCGTGCAAGTCACCTCACATAGCACTACGATGTGCGAATTCGGGGTTTCAAACCCTCAACACAGCATTTACATTCATTACTAACCTCAAGCCGGCCAGAGTCCTAGCTTGCTATGCCCTTGCCTTTCGAGTTCACCTCTTCGCGCGTCGAATCTGACCAAAACCACAACGAATACGTCACAATATGCTAAGGGAATACAACCCAATTGAAAAAACTCGAAAAACATCGAAAATCACGAAGTTGGCAAAATCCGAGCCCCGGGCCCACTTCTCGAAAAATTATAAAATTCACATCACCGGATTCCTTATCTCGCCACGAGTCCATGCATATAAAGAACATCAAAAAATCGGAGTCCAAATGACCCCTCAAATTCCCATTTTTGTTCTCCTAGGTTTCAAGCCCTAAACCACCATTTTTGACCTTAAATCCTTGAGTTTTCAGTCTAATTTCATGTGTTTGCACCATAAAATCGTGTTTTTGGTTTAGAAATTCTTACCTCAATGAAGTCCCTTGATTCCTCTCCTCCAACTCGTCCAAATTCTCCAAGTCCGAAGTAAAAATATGAAACCCTTTAAAAAATTCGCGAAGGGAAATAAAAACTATTCTGACCAGTTATACCCGCATCTGCGGCTCCATGGCCGCATCTGCGGCTCCCGATTTTGCGGTCAATGCACCGCTTCTGCGGACATATCCGCTTCTGCGGTTTAACATCCTCTCCAAGCGCCTCCCGCTTCTGCGGACAAATTAACGCATCTGCGGATCCCCATAAGAGCTCAAATACCGCATCTGCGGTCCTCCTGTCGCATCTGCGACTCTGCAGATGCGGTCACCAATTCCGCACCTGCGGTCCCTGCCGCTTATGCGTCTCTCCTCTCGCTTCTGCGTTACCGCTTCTGCGGTCCCCATTCCGCAGAAGCGAAAATACCAGAAGCAGCACATGTTCTGCAATCTCTTAAGTTCAAAACTTCCCGTTAGCCATCCGAAATCACCCCGAGGCCCTCGGGACCTCAACCAAAAATACAAGCATGATCCAATACCTTATTCAAACTTCCTCCAATCATTAAAACACCTCAAACAACACTAAAACCATCATTTCTCATCGAATTCAAGCCTAAGTTCTTCTAAAACTTCCGAAACACGCATTCGATCAGAAACCCAACCAAAACACCTCCGAATGACCTGAAATTTTGCACACACATCCAAAATCACCTAACGAAGCTACTGCAACTCTCGGAATCTCATTCCGACCCCCGGATCAAAATCTCACCTACCAACCGGAATTCGCCAAAATACTAACTTCGCCACCTCAAGCCTAATTCTACACCGAACCTCCAAAATCAATTCCCATCGCACTCCTAAGTCACAATCATCCCACGAAGCTAACCAAATCATCGGAATTCAAATCCGAGCCCTCTAACACAAAAGTCAACATCCGGTTGACTTTTCCAACTTAAGCCTTCTTAAAAGAGACTAAGTGTCTCATTTCTTATCAAATTCATTCCAAACCAACTCTAACACATCAAATACTGATAATGAAACTTAAAGAAGCATAACATGGGGAAAACGGGGCGGTAACTCACGTGACGAGGGGTCGGGTCGTCACAATTACAACAAATGCAACTATTGGAGCAGAGCTTTCTTTTGACTCTTCTTCTCCTTCTGTTGTTGGGACTACTAACAATGATACACAAGTTTCATTGGTACCTGGTTTAACCAAGAAGCAATATTCTCAGCTAATGGCTATTTTACAACATTCTCATCAGCCTGATTCTGCTCCTCAGTATGACCTTATGGCTTCTGCCAACTTTGCTGGTAAAGTGCTCATCCCAAAAGTAGTGACTTGTTCTCTAGCTTGCATGTTGATTCAGTCTTCACCTCATAAATAGATTATTGATTCAGGAGCATCTGGCCACATGACTTATAACAAAGATCTTCTAACCAATATTACACCTTTTCCTATTCCTTACCTTGTCACACTTCCTAATGGATATAAAGTTAAAGTTACTTGCACCGGTCTTTTTCTTTATATCCATCCATCATTCTCCAGATGTTCTCTACATTCCTTCTTTCAAACATAATCTGATTTATGTGCACAAACTTGTTTTGTTATTGAGATGCATAGCACAATTTAGTTTTGAATCTTGCTTGCTACAGGGCCCTTCTCTGAAGATGCCTCTGGAGCTTGGTAAACTAGAGGATGGGCTTTACAAGTTTGTCTGCACTATTGCATTCTCTTCTTCAGCTCAAAATGTTTCTCCCGTGCCTCTTGCATGTAGCTTTCCATCTTTACCTTCTAATATTGTTGTTCCTAGCTCTAGTTCATTGTGTAACTCTAGTTCTTTTCAAAATGTTTTGTCTCTATCTATGTCTTTTTGTAATGAAGCTACATTGAATAAAATGGATATTGTTTGGCATCAAAGACTTGCACATGTTCCCTTTGTTAGAATGAAGGGTATTTCTGCTATATCTTCCTCTTTATCTTCTAAGCAACAATTTCCTTGTGAAATATGTCCTATGGCTAGACAAACCAGACTCCCTTTCCCTGATAGCTCAATTCATAGTACTCATCCCTTTCAACTTATATATGTTCTTGGGGACCCTACCACACTCCTACTTATTCTAGTTCTACATATTTTCTAACCATAGTTGATGATTTTTCTAGATCCACTTGGACTCATCTAATGGGTTCCAAAAGTAATTCATTTTCCTTGACTAAAGCTTTTGTGGACATGGTCAAAACTCAATTTCACATTACTATCCAAACAATTAGGAGTGACAATGCCTTAGAACTTGGGGGTAGCCATTCTGCCGTTTCTTACTTCTCTGATAATGACATTATCCATCAAACTAATTGTCCTCATACACCATAACAAAATGGTATAGTTGAGAGAAAGCATAGAACTTTACTTGAGGCTTGTACAACTTTTCTTTTCAATCCAAGGCTCCTATTAGATTTTGGGGGGACTGTTTACTCACAGCAACTTATATCATCAACAGAATCTCATCTAGGATTCTTCACAATAAATCACCTTTTGAAGTCCTTTACAATCAAACCCCTTCTTATTCTCACTTGAAAACATTTGGATGTCTGGCCTATGCTACTGTACCGATTCCTCATAGGGATAAATTGAAAACAAGAGTGATGCCTTGTGTCTTTCTTCATTATCCCTTTGCCAAGAAAAGTTACAGACTTTATAACCTAGAAACCAAGAAATCCCTTATGTCCAGGGATGTTGTATTTCATGAAGATGTCTTCCCTTCTCTTCTTCCTCCCATGTTCCACAAACTTCTATCACTTTTCCCCCGCCTTCTCCTCCCTCTCATATTTCAGATTCTTTACCTCTTACTTCTCCCACTCTTGATCCTATTCACCCCACTCCTGATCCTACTTCTCATGTGCCCTCTTCCCCTTCTATTCCTATTTCTGCTTCACCTTCTCTTTCTCCTGCTCCTATTCCTTCTCCTGTTTCTGACTCAACTCCTCCATGTGTTATTCCTTCCCCTGTTCATACTACAACAGCTCCTCCTCCTGTTGTTGGTCCACTCAGAAGGTTTGACAAACCTCATACCCTTCCATCCCACTTGACTGATTATGTCTGCCAATTGCCACCCTCATTCTCTTGCATCAGTCCTTTGACTCCTCATGCTATGTTTGAGCCCCCTACTTATTCCCAAGCTGCACCTGTTCCAACTTGGCAAGATGCTATGAGGAAAGAGTTTGAGGTCCTCGAGACCAATTAGACTTGGGATATTGTAGCATTGCCTAGTGGAAAGAAACCTATTGGCTGTAAATGAGTTTGTAAGATTAAGTATAAAGCTGATGGTACTATTGAGAGGTAAAAAGCTAGGCTTATTATTAGGGGTGACACCCAAGTAGGGGTATGCATTCGATTTATCAATTCGATTTTGACCCTTATCGATAATTACTTATCGATTATCGATTTGTACATATGCTTATCGTTATCGTTTTAATAAGGTTTCAATTTTTTCGATTTCGATTTATCGATTTTTGGGGCTGTCAGGACCCAAAATCTAACCATGGTCGTGATGGCGCCTATCGTGTTACAAGGCAAGCATATTCCCAAATTATTACTACTAATTTGATAATAAGAATTTAATAAAACATTTCCAATAATTTAATTCCTGATAAACTAAACCAACTCTAAATATAAATAATATAAAATACGGAAATGAGTCCAAAACATCAGGGTGTCACTAAGTCATGAGTGTCTAAAACTATGAACTGAGTTATGTAAACTGTCTAACTCTCCAAAGAAGAAATGATGAAAGGAGTAACAAGGTCCTGCGAACGCTGGCAGCTACCTTTCAGTCTCCAATTAAAGCCGGCCTGAACTCAACGATCGCCGCGCTCTAACTCACCTAGATCTGCACATAAATTACAGGGTGTAGTATGAGTACAACCACCTCAGTAGTAATAGAAATAACTAAGGAACTGAGCAGTAGTGACGAGCTGAGCAAAACAGTCCAATTATTTATTTTTCACAATTTAAAAAAAATAACAGGAATAAACAGGTAAATTCCATAACTCAGTAAATGCAACAAAGAAATTTAACAGATAAATGCAGCAACAACAAAAGTAAATGCAACCTCACAGCAATGTCACTCCATCACTCAACACTCGCACTCAGCACTCAACACTCAACACTCAACACTCAATACACTCAACACTCTGTGCTCACTGGGGGTGTGTACATACTCCGGAGAGGCTCCCAAAGCCCAAGCGCTAAGCACGGACAACTCACGTACTACCATATCAATACCAGGATCCGCACGGTCAACTCACGTGCTACGCGGACAACTCACGCGCTATGGTATTAATATTCTCACAACCAGGCCATCATATCAATACCTGGATCCGCACGGTCAACTCACGTGCTACACGGACAACTGACGCGCTATGGTATAAATACCTGGACCCGCACGGTCAACTCACGTGCTACGCGGACAACTCATGCGCTATGGTTAATATCCTCACAATCAGGCCATCGGTCTCACTCAATCATGTACCTCACTAGCCTCACCCATCATCAACAAATAATGGGACACAACCCACATCAAGTATCACAGCATATTAGCAAATAATAGAGACGGAGGTAAACATGTACAATAATTTCTATGACTGAGTATAATTAATGTGAGCATGAATAAAGCCTAAACATGATCTCTAACATGAAGGAAAACAAGTTCAACAACAAGTAAATACATAACCACAGATAATAGCCATTAGGCCTCACAGCCACACGAGACGGACCGTCTCAATCCCTTGCGGTGCACACCCACACACCCGTCATTTAGCGTGGGTATCACAACCAAACAATCACATGATATCAAACTCTCCGGGTTTATACCCTCAAAGCTAGAGTTAAAACTGTTACTTACCTCAACAACGTAAAATCCTACTCTGGATGTCCTCGTCCCTCGATTCGGTCTCCAAAAGCTTCAAATCTAACCATAATCAGAATACTACTATCTACATAGTCTAAAGAATCGAATTACACAATAAAAACTACATAAACATGCCAAAAATCCGAAATCGGCCAAAACTCGGCCCCCGGGCCCACGTCTCGAAATCAGTCAAAAATGGCAGAATAATAATCCTCGTCCTCTCCCGAGTCTAACCATAATAAATTTATCAAAATCGGACTCCGTTTGGTCCCTCAAATCCTCACTTAAAACTCTCCAAAACTCAAACCCTAACTCCCTCAATTTCACTTTGAAATCATCAATCAAATCCCAAAAACGAAGACGGATTCATGAAATATAACAAAAACCGAGTAGAGAACACTTACCAAAATCCATATGATGAAAATCGCCTCCAAAATCGCCTAAATCCGAGCTCCCCAACTCACAATATGACAGAATGAACAAACCCTAGTTTTATATATTTTCTACCAGCTATTCTGCCTCGTTTCTCATGCCAAACTATCCCGAAACTCGCTTTTTATGCCTCCAATGGATTCCTTGTAAAATTTTAGTCAAGTTAGGCTTTTGAATCACTCAATTTGACCTTATAATGAAGGAGATATGTAGATTTTAATATTTGCAAATAGTACAGATTTTTAATTATGCTGTCAGTGGCAATTTTGTAATTAATCTGAAAAAATCTGGCAACCTAATTCTTAGTAAAATGGCCATAAAATCCTCATACGCCGTCCAAATACGGCGATTCTTTTTGCTACAGGTCCGTAATTATAATACGTATCTAATGCTTCAATCAAAAAAAGAAATCGGAGCTCATTTGTTCAATATGATATCATTTATGCTTGAAAAAACGGCGTCGAAACATTAGAAAAACGAGCGCAATACAATCCAAACTTATCTGAAACTCACCCGAGGCCCTCGGGACCTCAACCAATAATTCCAACAAGTCATATATCACTATCCGAACTTAGTTGAACTTCCAGAACACCAAAAACAACACTAAAACACCAAATCAACCTCGGATTCAAGCTTAAGAACTTCTAAACTTTCAACTTTTGCCAATTCAAGCCTTATTCTACCACGGACCTCCAAATTATATTCCGGGCACACTCCTAATTCTAAAATCACCCAACGAAGCTAATCGAATCATAAAAATGCAAATCCGAATTCATTTACTCATAAGTCAACTTCCGGTTGACTTTTCTAACTTAGCTTTCTAACTAAGAGACTAAGTGATCATTTCACTACAAAACTACTCCGAACCCAAACCTACCAGCTCGATACAACTCAACACAGCTGAACAACACATAAATAAGCATAGATGGGGGAAATGTGGCTATAACTCTCAGAACAAACGACTGGGTCGTTATATCCTCCCCCTCTTAAACAAACGTTAAACATACCTGAAATCACATGATATACCCCACAATTCAAACACTCACAACGATGATTTCTAATCATAGCAGCTGCCCAAAACAACCAAACACTGGTAATAAGCCTCTTATCTGACAGAGCTTGAACAAGCTATATCAAGTCACAAATCAAACACCCATTAGTCCTTGCTACATCTCAAGTAAACCCTTCTCATCACATTCGATCAATCCGAACACAATCTCGCAGTCAAATCATACTTGCCACATAGCCATCAAATCACAAATTCCACTAAATGGGACACCAATCGACATATAGGCACGTGCTCACACAATCGAAATCTTCGTACTCCAGCTACAGATAAAATCCGGCCTCAAGTCCTCCAGACTGGCCCAACATCAACATACAGAAATCACATCTCGCACCTCTTCCAAAGAAGCACAATCCGTCGATGCACAACTGATACCGAGCGCTCATGTGCGCATATGAATGTGTGGAAGGAATTCAAAGAGTTACACTTCAAGCTGAATCAATACCGCACGATAAGAATTCAAGAAGGTGAAATTTTCCTAAAGGTTCTGCAGCCTCTCGAAGATAAGTACAGACGTCTCCGTACCGATCCGCAAGACTCCACTAAACCCGCTCATAACTCGTGAGACCTATGTAACCTAGACTCTGATACCAACTTGTCACGACCCAAAATCTAACCATGGCCGTGATGGCGCCTATCGTGTTACAAGGCAAGCCTATTCCCAAAATATTACTACTAATTTGATTAAAAGAATTTAATAAAACATTTCCAATAATTTAATTCCTGATAAACTAAACCAACTCTAAATATAAATAATATAAAATACGAAAACGAGTCCCAAACATCGGGGTGTCACTAAGTCATGAACGTCTAAAACTATGAACTGAGATATGTAAACTGTCTAACTGTCCAAAGAAGAAATGATGAAAGGAGTAACAAGGTCCTGCGGACGCTGGCAGCTACCTTTCAGTCTCCAATTAAAGCCGGCCTGAACTCAACGATCGCCGCGCTCTAACTCACCTGGATCTGCACATAAAGTGCAGGGTGTAGTATGAGTACAACCACCTCAGTAGTAATAGAAATAACTAAGGAACTGAGTAGTAGTGACGAGCTGAGCAAAACAGTCCAATTATTTATTTTTCACAATTTTAAAAAATAACAGGAATAAACAGGTAAATTCCATAACTCAGTAAATGCAACAAAGAAATTTAACAGATAAATGCAACAACAGCAAAAGTAAATGCAACCTCACAATAATGTCACTCCATCACTCAACACTCGCACTCAGCACTCAACGCTCAACACTCAATACACTCAACACTCCATGCTCACTGGGGTGTGTACAGACTCCGGAGGGGCTCCCAAAGCCCAAGCGCTAAGCACGGACAACTCATATACTACCATAAAAATGCCTGGATCCGCACGGTCAACTCACTTGCTACGTGGATAAATCACGCGCTATGGTATAAATATCTGGACCCGCACGATCAACTCACGTGCTACGCGGACAACTCACGCGCTATGGTATTAATATTCTCACAACCAAGCCATCATATCAATACCTGGATCCGCACGGTCAACTGACGTGCTATGCGGACAACTCACGCGCTATGGTATAAATACCTGGACCTGCACAATCAACTCACGTGCTACGCGGAAAACTCACGTGCTATGGTATTAGTATCCTCACAATCAGGCCATCGGTCTCACTCAATCATGTACCTCACTAGCCTCACCCATCATCAACAAATAATGGGACACAACCCACGTCAAGTATCACAACATATTAGCAAATAATAGAGACGGAGGTAAACATGTACAATAATTTCTATGACTGAGTATAATTAATGTGAGCATGAATAAATCCTAAACATGATCTCTAACATGAAGGCAAACA